ACTGGCGCTCACACACACACTCACATACACACACGCACACGCCACAGGCTCCCGCCACTAGCAAAGCCCCCGGCACACACCCTCATCCAGATGTCTACACGCTCAGCTTCACATTCGGACACACCCTCTCACAGACACACTCAGACACACGCACGCACACACCCGCACCCAGCCCAGGGGCGCACACACACAGGCACGCGCGCGCGCGCACGCACACACACACACACACACACACACACACACAAAATAGTCCAATGATATTACCTGAGTGGAGACAAAACTACTAAATTGGATGCAAGTTAATTTGACTTATAGAGTATTCAGTAAATGAAAGTCACATATATGTATTCATAGGTCTGTCACTTACATATAGTTTTCAACCTGTCAATATTATACAAGGATTCTCAATGTCATTGGCATTATTATGTCATTCTTCTATGTTTCAGGAGGTGGTTCAGAAAAGGGATATCATTTTCCAAGGTCATAAAATCCCACTGCTTTTAAAAACTTAATCAGTCTAGCAGATAGCATCATGATGTAGAATCATATTCCTGTAAGCCTTAACAATGCAAAGTGTGAGGTGTTTCGGTGACCTTTCATCTACACCTGTAACTTCAAGGATACTTACTAGGAAGCAAACAGCATGGCTAGCCTGTTTCTGACCTTGAGCTACTTACTCATTCTCCACTGCTCTATTTGAATTCAACATTGGCATTCATCTTAACCTTAGAGTAGGAACAGTAACATTGCATGCATATAAAAATGCTTAATTTCAGAATTTAATTAACTGATAAACTTTCATTGTTCTTTTAGGTGTTTTTTTATCTCTGATTTTAAAATTAAGTGCTTGTTATAGAATTTTTACTAAACTTGCTTCAAATCAACCCTCTAAGAGAGTTTATCATAATGGTATCTGTTTTTTCTTCGTTTATAGCAAATTTCTGTTTATCCATTCAAAAATATGCATTCACTACATTCTATGTTATGACATGCTAGACACTGGTGGGGACGTAGAGGTATAAAAACTATTGATAATTTTATAATCTTATTAGGAAAACAAGTCAATGCCAAAATGGCAGAGTTCAGAGAAGGTGAGATTATTGTGGCCTTCCAGGGTCAGGGAAGGTTACATGGCAATGGGGAAAAATATTCCCTGGATTGGGGAAGTGATTGCCAGAGGCAGGGGTTGGGGTGGAAAAAAAGGGTCAAGGTGGTCGAAGCTACAAACTTTCAGTTATAAAATAAATAATATGGGGATGTAATGTACAGCATGGTGACTACGCCCACCAGCCTCCCCGCCGCCCTCCCATTGTTCCCGTGGCAGGAGCTCGCAGAAAACCACGCCACGCGTTCCAGCCCCCTCTCAGGTGGCAATACCTCTGGACTCTCTGGGGGCTCTCGAGGCGCTGGTCCGTGGCTCCTGGACCCCGACGCCCGCCCTCCACAGGCGCTGGCACGCCCGAAGCGAAGAGCTTTTCTAAATAACCACCACAGCCCTTACCAGCGCTCCTTCGGGGAGGGAGGAACTACCTAAGTCCAGCAAGCTCAAGAGAGCAGCAGGGAGGGGGGGGCACCCATTAGGGGCCCCCATTCTGTAGATGAAGAAACGGAGAGAATTCCTGCTCCAGAGCTCCTGGGAAGTCCAGGGCCCTCCAGAAATGTGGGGAATAAGGAGCCTGGCCTCCTTTGTTGGACAACAAATAAAGCACAGAGAGGAGGGGGGAGCGGTGTCATGCACTTTCCTGGGTTTTACTGGAAGTCAGGAGGTAAGCACAGGCTTACTAAGCTCCGAAACTCTCACTGCTTTGTCTCACTCAGTCCGCACCGGGGTCCTATGTGAGCTGTGATGATCCCCACTTTCCAGTGAGAAGCTTGTCCCGGGCCTCCACCAGCCAGCGCAGAGCCCATATCAAGTCCAACCATGGCCGGCGCTGACTGCGCTCCTCCCTCCGGTATGGGGACTAAGTGCCAAGTGAGCAGCCGGGAATCAAGGAGGGGCTTCTGCAAACTACGAGAGGGCAGAACTGAGGGAATTGAAGCCCCAAAGCAGCACTGAGCGAGGCTTGGTGGGGGTTAGGGGATATAATTAATATCAAAACTAATGTATTTGGAGCACTTACTATATTTCAGGCACTGTTGTAAGAGCTTTACTTGCACTGACTTATTTAATCCCACGATAACTCTGTGGGGAAGAGGTTATTCTTATCCCCACTTCATACATCAGGAAACTCAAACATGAAGACGTTACATAGCTTGTCAAGTGGCAAAGCCAAGATCCAAACCCAGGAAGCTGATGCCCAAGCCTGCACATTTAACTACTGCAGGCCAGACAGAAGCAGCCCTGAATTCGAGGCAAACATTTGAATGACTAGAACACCCACCACAGCAGGAGTCTACTTGTTGTCTTCTGTCTCCCTGTGTGTAATCCCGCCCAGCACACGGGGCCTGGTATGCAGCCTAGGGTTAAACTACGGCATGACGGCCACATGAGGCTGGAGTGACATGTGCAGCCCTCCCTGCTCTGCTGGGCACTTTTATCAGTGGTTTTAGAGGAAGGCATGAAACACTCATCAAATCTACAGCTGTCATGAAGTTGGGATGGACAGCAAACCCTCCGGAAACCAAAATTCATTTCCAAACGGGCCTCCACCAGCCAGCGCAGAGCCCATATCAAGTCCAACCATGGCCGGCGCTGACTGCGCTCCTCCCTCCGGTATGGGGACTAAGTGCCAAGTGAGCAGCCGGGAACATAAATCAAGGAGGGGCTTCTGCAAACTCAGAGGGCAGAACTGAGGGAGCTGAAGCCCCAAAGCAGCACTGAGCAAGGCTTGGTGGGGGTTAGGGGATATAATTAATATCAAAACTAATGTATTTGGAGCGCTTACTATATTTCAGGCACTGTTGTAAGAGCTTTACTTGCACTGACTTATTTAATCCCACGATAACTCTGTGGGGAAGAGGTTATTCTTATCCCCACTTCATACATCAGGAAACTCAAACATGAAGACGTTACATAGCTTGTCAAGTGGCAAAGCCAAGATCCAAACCCAGGAAGCTGATGCCCAAGCCTGCACATTTAACTACTGCAGGCCAGACAGAAGCAGCCCTGAATTCGAGGCAAACATTTGAATGACTAGAACACCCACCACAGCAGGAGTCTACTTGTTGTCTTCTGTCTCCCTGTGTGTAATCCCGCCCAGCACACGGGGCCTGGTATGCAGCCTAGGGTTAAACTACGGCATGACGGCCACATGAGGCTGGAGTGACATGTGCAGCCCTCCCTGCTCTGCTGGGCACTTTTATCAGTGGTTTTAGAGGAAGGCATGAAACACTCATCAAATCTACAGCTGTCATGAAGTTGGGATGGACAGCAAACCCTCCGGAAACCAAAATTCATTTCCAAAAGATCTCAGCAGCCTTGGGGTTGAGCTGGAACTAACAAGATAAAGTGCTACACCGAATAAATGTAAACTCCCACCCTTTGGTCCAAGCCACAGCAGTCCAGGAGAACTTTCTGTGATGCTGCAAAGTGTCCTGAATCTGCATTAGCAGATCTAGTAGCCACAAGCCACCTGTGGCTGTTGAGCACTTGGAATGTGGCTAGTATAACTGAGAAGCTAAAATTATAATCTATTTCATTTTAAGGATTTTAAATGTAAATTGCTACATGGGTCTCGTACCTGCCATATTGGACAACGCAGTTCTAAATGATCAAGTGGCCAAAATAAATGAAAGAATCTAGATTAAGAGTAGTTTCAGGGAAAATAACAAAGGTTTGAGTTAACCTCAAGCTCAACAATGCAATGTGGCTTGGAAAAAAAAAAAAAAGAAGAAGCAAGGGAGGGAGGGAAAGAGGAAAGGAAAAAAAGGAAGGAAGAGGAAAAAAGTGAACATGATATTCTGTGTCAACAGAAAACAGGGGTTAGACCTCTACAGTTAGCCTCACTAGAGCCTCTGTGCTGCCCTGGGCTGATACAGCTGGACCACAGGCTTCAGCTCTGGGCTCCACATTCCGAGGGGCACACTGTCGCACTGGAGAGAGCCTAGAGTCCAGAATGCTGAGGACCCGGATGCCATGTTGTGGTGAATGATGTAAACGGCTTGAAGAAGGGAAAGCTCAAGGAGTTTACATTTATTCGGTGTAGCACTTTATCTTGTTAGTTCCAGCTCAACCCCAAGGCTGCTGAGATCTTTTGGAAATGAATTTTGGTTTCCGGAGGGTTTGCTGTCCATCCCAACTTCATGACAGCTGTAGATTTGATGAGTGTTTCATGCCTTCCTCTAAAACCACTGATAAAAGTGCCCAGCAGAGCAGGGAGGGCTGCACATGTCACTCCAGCCTCATGTGGCCGTCATGCCGTAGTTTAACCCTAGGCTGCATACCAGGCCCCGTGTGCTGGGCGGGATTACACACAGGGAGACAGAAGACAACAAGTAGACTCCTGCTGTGGTGGGTGTTCTAGTCATTCAAATGTTTGCCTCGAATTCAGGGCTGCTTCTGTCTGGCCTGCAGTAGTTAAATGTGCAGGCTTGGGCATCAGCTTCCTGGGTTTGGATCTTGGCTTTGCCACTTGACAAGCTATGTAACGTCTTCATGTTTGAGTTTCCTGATGTATGAAGTGGGGATAAGAATAACCTCTTCCCCACAGAGTTATCGTGGGATTAAATAAGTCAGTGCAAGTAAAGCTCTTACAACAGTGCCTGAAATATAGTAAGCGCTCCAAATACATTAGTTTTGATATTAATTATATCCCCTAACCCCCACCAAGCCTTGCTCAGTGCTGCTTTGGGGCTTCAGCTCCCTCAGTTCTGCCCTCTGAGTTTGCAGAAGCCCCTCCTTGATTTATGTTCCCGGCTGCTCACTTGGCACTTAGTCCCCATACCGGAGGGAGGAGCGCAGTCAGCGCCGGCCATGGTTGGACTTGATATGGGCTCTGCGCTGGCTGGTGGAGGCCCGGGACAAGCTTCTCACTGGAAAGTGGGGATCATCACAGCTCACATAGGACCCCGGTGCGGACTGAGTGAGACAAAGCAGTGAGAGTTTCGGAGCTTAGTAAGCCTGTGCTTACCTCCTGACTTCCAGTAAAACCCAGGAAAGTGCATGACACCGCTCCCCCCTCCTCTCTGTGCTTTATTTGTTGTCCAACAAAGGAGGCCAGGCTCAATAGCTTCAAAGTAATAATATCATTGGTCTCATTACTATTATTATTATCACCAAGGCCACCTCCTTTAGACTTGGTGACTAGATTGGCAGGAGGGGACAAGAAGAGTCAATGGACTGCATCTGTAGGGGTGGGGATAGGGGCCAAGGACCTCTGATTTTTTGGGAGGGTCAGCTAGCCTTTCCACCCCTCCTCCAAGTTCTGTGAGGACAAAGTGTTCTGTGTGCTGTCACCTCGTGAACTGCTTCCTCATTCCTCTGAACCACACCCCATACTTGACTAAAGGAAGCAACCAGTTCTAGGAAAGTTAGACTCTTTCTTCCCTCCTTTTAATGTTCACAAATGACAACTGGTGTTGCCCTTTCCTTAAATAATAAGTACCATCATCTCATATGAAAATAGCCAATATTATTGAGCACTATATGCTAAGCACTTTACTTACATACTTTTCTCACCCCGGGAAGTAGCTATAATTATAATCCCGTTTTCTAGACTAGGACACTGGCTCATGGAGATGCACAATTTTCCCACAGGCACAAAGCTTATGAGGGGGCTTCCAATAGAAATCTATGTGCTTTCAAAGCTGCATTCCCCAAGGCTTCCAGCATTTTATTAGGTATTTTTGCAATAACTTAGGGAGGAGAGCAAGACTGGTGTGGTATCCAATTTATAGCTGGGAAACTAAAGCTCGGAAAGGATAAAGCAAATCACCTGGACACATTAGTAAAGTCTTCCGATGTGCAGTCCAACACTGTTTCCGCTTCTCTGCTGCTCTCCTGAGCCCCAGCGGTGCTTTCCTCCTTCCCCTGCACCGGCCAGGGCCTCCCCAGTCCCAGTCTAACGCCCGGCCCCCTTAAGAGAAGGACTTTTACTTGTCCTTTTCTTAGGACAGAATAAAGAAAGGACTTCTGAAAGACAAAAGTTAATTCCTACCTCCTCCCCCATCGCTACGAGCACATACACTCCAGTCCACCGCCTTGAGGTGATGGGGCTAAAGGCTCACAGAGTGAGTCACAGGGAGCTGACCTACCAGGCTCGGGAGCACAGGTGCTAAGCTTAGTTTAGAGGAGTGGAAAAGTAGGCCAAGTGTCCTCATCCCCAGGCACACAGCCCAATTGCACCTCGTGGCCCCCTACTCATCTCATCCCAAAATTCTGCAAACATTTAGGGAACACTGTGTAAGGCCTTGGGGGCAGAGGGGACATATGGCATATAAGAGTGCATCCTCACCCTTCAGAGGGAATAAGACAGTGAGTACAAAGTGATATATACTTACAAAGAGTGACGGAAGCACATGGTGATTAATTTCAAGGAGAGACACTCCCAAAGGAGTGGAGTCTTACAGAGTAAGTTGAGCATGAAGAGGCAGTAGAGGGGCACTCTAGGCTACAGGAATGTACTTGCCCTAAAGCTTAAATATATTTGGACTCTATTTAGCAGGCAAAAGGGAGCCATAGAGTGCACTATGACTCCGGAGAAAGACTGAGTTTGAATCCTGGCTCTGTTCCCTCTCAGCTGTTTGACCTTGGGCAAGTTACTTAACCCCTATGGTAGAGATGTTATTATTCCCCATTATTTGCTCTCCCCCCTCCCAGTAAGAGTATACCTTTTAGCCCGTTGCCATGTGACCTGCATACCCTCCAGAGGAAGGAGTTCACTTCCCCAGCCCAGTGTCAGACTTAACCACATGACTTACATAGGCCAATGAAATTTGGACCAGAGAGATATATACAGGGTGTCCCCACAAAAAATGTATACACACTTTTAACCCATTATTCATTCTAATGTGTTAAATCGGAAAAGAAAGAAACGTCAATTGAGCTATCAGCTGTTAAAAGGTGCATACATTTTGGGGGACACC